GCAAACAACGCCACTGTTGACGTAGAAAGGAAAGAGAAGGTGGAGGACATTGCAGACACTCTAAAAAGACTCAACCTCTTCTCTGCAGCATCATCAGGTGAACAGCTGCTGAACTGTTATAATCTTGCTGTAAAAAAAGAAACGGATAAACTACTAACTATCGTTTCTGAATTGTTTATTTCGTTCTTTATTGGTTAGACTCTATTCGGATAAATATCCACCACTAGCCACCTCAACTTCGGTAAATAGTTGTAAAATACTCAAGTAAAGATGCCAATCAGTTTTCTGAGACCTCAAGAAAAAAACACAACTCAGAATTTGCAGACGACCTCTCTACGACTGAGTTACAGAGAACTGAGCAATGAACAAGGCCACTACAAGGTTTATAAATTTAACAAGCACGATCAACGATGACATTTGTTTTATCCCATGTTGTGCGTTTTGCTGTTTGTACTAATTACCGTTACACATAATTTACCTTCAGAATACGACGAAGACTCAGAAATTAGCCAGCGTCAGCTTCAAGAACACCCAGAGTGGACTAGGCACGAGTAAATTTTCTGTTCCAGTCTCCAGCTGCACTAGAAGCTTATCATCTTATAATGATTTTTTTTTTAAACAAATCATCTTCGAGGACTTTTTTCTTGTACTGTCAGTGTTAAATTTTGTGGCTTAAGATTTGGAATTATGACAAATAGCATTGCTACAAGTGCTGTCTTCATTTGTGGAATAAGTTAATGTCATTTGGAGAATGTATCTAACTATTTTTCTGCACTTGAAACCAAGAAGTCGCAAACACTTGCTTTCTGAAAAATTTCGCGTTGTTTACAGCGAAAAGTTCGCATCTGTAAATGTATTCCTGACAAGGAAGTTGTCTCTGAAAAAAAAAATGCTGCTATTTTTATTTCCTTCATTTTACTCTTTGTTGTACATAGTACAGAGAGTTGTAGCTGACTTTGACCAGGTGAGCTTAACTTTTGTTCCCACTGATAATTGCCAAACAAGTGGGTAGGTAAACGTATGGCTTTTTGGTAATTTTTGAATTAAAATTAAACTGAAATAGAAGATATAAGTGATGCAGTAGCGATTTTTATCATGCTTAGGAACCGTTTTTTTTTTTTAACAGGACTCTTTTTTCCTCTTTCGCAAACATGAGCCATTCCCTTTTGACAGTTCAACGGCGTATAATTAAATGCACCACTATCAACTTCCTTCTATAAACAACTGAGATCTCACAGACCCGTCTTAGCATTAAAGGATTGGTGTGTCCTTCGTTACTTTAAGTCTTTAGTCTTGGCTTGCTAAGAATTGTATTAGAACTCGAACTCTTGTAGACCATACAGCAATAAAGACAACAAACTGACTGAATTCTTAATGGTGAGGCTTCATGTCGTAAGGAAACGGTACGATCGAAGGAACGATTCAAGTACCAGAACTGACAAACGGTGAAAATATGCAGTGCTTTCGTTGTCTAATGGGTAAATACAACCACGGAAAAGCTATCGTAGTAGCTAAGCCCTGAGTTTATCAGCGAAACGCGAGTTCATCCCAACCATCGTGTTCTCGGGGGAGCTTTGGCCCCGGAAAAAATTCGCAGCATGTATTCTAAAGAGGCGCTATCATTTCTGTCATCAACGTAGAGAATCAATTAACAGTTGCAGTCAAAACTGGGCATACCAGGAAGTTAAACCAACAGCTCACGAAGAATGAAACGAGCCCTTGAATTATATGAGTAGTATATTAAAACAAAAAATTGGAGAAAAATATTTGAGGCGGTGAAGAATGCCGAAAAAAAAGATACAAATGCGTGTAGCCTCCTCAGCTGTAATTTAAAATTCGTGGCAAAACATTGCTGCATTTTCAAAAATACTCTTGCATTTCTTGGTATCTTGTAACCTTGCCTCACAATAAATGAGGAGTTACTGAAAGTATAGAGTTTCAGTGGTCAGTGTCTGTTGTATTTGTGAACAATAACGCGCGCGTCAGGGTTTAGAATCCAGATCACTTGTTTCGTTCGCATGTAAAATGCATGACGTCAGGTATTGTACTTGTGCGTTACGGACAAGGAACCGGCAAGGAACCTTCCGTCCATTGTGATTGTTATTTTATGGGTTAAAGGTTCACCTATTAATTAACAATTCACAATGAATCATGGATCGGAATCACTTAGCGTCATCTCATCATGGAGGCCGAAGTCTTCGATCGATCGGCTGAACTTTCAAGAGTTACAAGATCCAATCTCGACCCGAATAAGCTCTAGTGTGTGCTAACGAAAAATTGATGTGGAATCGGGCCGAATGCTTCTTCAAAGAACGAAACGTTTCTTCGATTCCCCGTTGAAAACGTGGTGTCACGCCAGCGATCTCAAGCCCGCGAACAAGGCTGTTCGTTCAACGCCAGGCAGCTAAACAACTTGCATGTTGCATCTTCACTTGGTCTCTGTGCCGCACTTCTTGAACAGTGTTAGGGTATTTTCTCAACCGCAAGAAAGATACAACTCGTACCAACTCAACTACTTTATTAACTGACGTAATAATCTTACTACGGAGCGATACCAATACCAATACAATAACTATCCTCTTATCTTAGAGCCCTCTATAAAACTATAACCTCAGTACACTACTGCACAACTCACGGTTCTCTTCAAAGATCCTTGTAACGTGTCGACGTCCACAATACTTTTCTCAACGTAGCTGACGATTCCAGCAACAACACTAGCTCCTCTGGGCTCTTCGCAACAGCACCAACTCAATAAAAAGGCCTCACTTTAAGTGATTGCGACTCCTTATATATCTTTTACAAAATGTTCTAGAATGTTCTAGGGATCTGTAATACAACTATTTTCAGTATCGTTACATTACTATTGCATCACAACAAAACATGCCGACTAACGGTGTTTCGTTGATCAAAAGTCAATAATATTTTAATTTATTAATCCGTTTATTGACATTTAATTAGTAACTGACCACGTGATTTACAGCCCATTGCGTAATCGCTTAAGGCAGACCTTTGAGTTAATGTGACATTTTTCCGTAACACGCGCTCGATTGAGAGCGATCAGTCCTTTTTCTACCTCGCTACCTGAAGTGTCCTGA